GGGGTAAGGGGGAAGGAAGTAGTGCTGCAGGAGGTGCATGAGGGGGAGAAGGTATGGGGGGGAAGAAGGAATCAGAGTTGGAAGGGACCTCCAGGGTCATCTAGTCCAACCCCCTGCACAATGCAGGAAATTCACAACTACCTCCTCCCCCACCCCAGTGACCCCTGCTCCGTGGTTTTTCAGGCTGCTGGTTATCTATGGCACTTACCTCTATGGCAGTTAAACTAGTATATGTCATTTATCTGAATAATTGCTGTCAAATCACAGCTGAATGAGAATCATAGAGTTGGAAGGGCCCTCCAGGGTCATCTAGTCCAACCCCCTGCACAATGCAGGAAATTCACAACTACCTCCTCCCCCACCCCAGTGACCCCTGCTCCGTGGTTTTTCAGGCTGCTGGTTATCTATGGCACTTACCTCTATGGCAGTTAAACTAGTATATGTCATTTATCTGAATAATTGCTGTCAAATCACAGCTGAATGGGAATCATAGAGTTGGAAGGGCCCTCCAGGGTCATCTAGTCCAACCCCCTGCACAAGGCAGGAAATTCACAACTACCTCCTCCCCCACCCCAGTGACCCCTGCTCCGTGGTTTTTCAGGCTGCTGGTTATCTATGGCACTTACCTCTATGGCAGTTAAACTAGTATATGTCATTTATCTGAATAATTGCTGTCAAATCACAGCTGAATGGGAATCATAGAGTTGGAAGGGACCTCCAGGGTCATCTAGTCCAACCCCCTGCACAAGGCAGGAAATTCACAAGTACCCTCCCCCACACACACACCCAGTGACCACTGCTCCAGGCCCAGAAGATGGCAAAAAGAATCCCCCAGGATCCCCGGCCAAACTGGCCTGGAGAAAAATGGCTTCCGGACCCCAAAGTGGCAATCGGCATTTCCCTGGGCATGTAAGAAAGGGCCAGGAGAACTAAGCGCTGTTGCAACCCTTCCTGCCTTCCCGTCTTGTGATCTGCCTAAGTTTACAGAATCAGCCATTGCTGTCAGATGGCCATCTCCCCTCTGCTTAAAAACTCCAAAGAAGGAGAGCCCACCACCTCCCAAGGAAGCCTGTTCAACCGCTCTAACTGTTTGGAAGTTCTTCCTAATGTTTAGCTGAAAACTCTTTTGATCCGACCTTCTGTGGCAACAGAAAACAACTCTCTTTTTTTAATCACATTTTTATTTTTTTACTCCGAAGTGCATTCACTTGCAGAGAAAGAAACAACACAAACACAAAACCAGCCAAGGGGTATACAGTATATGAATGCATATTGGTTGAACTATGAACTTTAAGGAACCCTGGTTAATATCTAGATGATCTTATTTACTATACTTTACTCAACACTTTAATCTTATGTCTCCTCTGAACAACTCTGCACCATCCTCTTTATGACAGCCCTTCAAGGACTTGAAAATGGTGATCATATCACCTCTCAGTTGTCTCCTCTCTAGGAGGAGTAAGGCCATGAAATACCTGTTATTGGGGGGGGGTGTTGATGGAGCAAGAAGGGCAAAAGGGAGGTTGGCAACAGATGCCTGTGGGGGGTGAGATTATGAAGGTGAGAGGCAGGAAGAGAAAAGGATGTGGGGGGCAGGAGTAGGGTTACTTTTACTGTTTTTAACTTTTATGCTACACATATATTTATCATATTTATATCGGCATTGTATTTATAGTTGTTGTGAACCGCCCTGAGCCCCAAATTGGGGACAGCGCAGTATATAAACCAAATAAATAAATAGGAGTGGGGGGGGGTAAAGGAGGTGTAGGCTGTAGAGAATAGTGACCCTGCAGTAGGAGGCACTGGCTGAGCCCACAAGACTCTTCCCAGACTCTCAGGATAGGTTTGGGTCTTAAGGGCTTTGAGGTTCTGCTTATTTTTAACTTTTGACGTAAATGGGCAGATTTCTCCTGGTTACATAAATCAAAGGGGAGTGGGGGAGGAGCCGTTCAACTCCACTAGACTTTTGGCTTTTTCCCCCTAGAAAAAATGTTCCATTTCTGCCGTGGTACTTTTATACAAAGCTGGTTCTAACTTTTCTGACTTTTGTTAGCTGTAGCCTTTGCCCTGTGCAGCGTTGTAAATTTGGCAAAACTCACTTTTATGGGTAAATACCATCCTGGTTCCTTAGTTTTCCTTTGACATTTACAGAAAGCCAAAAGATTTTACTACATTTTTAAAAGTTGCTTATAGTGTTACTGAAGTGAGATTTGTCGGGAATAAAAAGCCCTTCCCTGAGGCCTTTTCCTGTACATTTTGATATGTAGCATTGACAGTTTGATAATGCTATTTTTTATTCTTAAAATCAATAAGCTTTCATTGCAGAGAATAGATCAAAATTCTTCAAGTAACTTGTACCAGTTTTTGGATAATAAAGCAAGATTTTGCCAAACTTACTTCCTGTGTAGATTCTGTTTCTTCCTCTGGGTGTTTGTAGGGGTATGGGCATATGCATCCATAACATCAAACACAGTATATTATATTTGCGTTCTATTTCTCTTCAAGGAGCTCTGTGTGGCAGGCATGGGTGTTCCCTATTTTATCCCCATGGTAATTTCTGTAAGGTAGGCTGAAAGAAAATGACTCAGTTCAGATCTGAATCCAGACTGAAGTTAAGGAAAAGTAATTACAGCTTGACTTCATGTCTGAGCTGACAAACCGTGCTTTATGAGCAGTCAGCACAGCAGAATTGGAAACCGTGATTTGAAGTGGGTTTCCTTACCATGGTTTGTACCGACTACACTTGTTGCATGGTGTCTGAACTGAGAAATCGTAGTCACAGCTGTTGATGCTGCTCTGGAGACATGGAATGCTGAGCTGATGGAAAATTGAAGCAGAAGTGTAAGCCAGGATTTGCTTGTAGGTTTCTTAACCATGGTTTGGCAAGATGTCTGAACTGAGCCAGCGACATGTCAATGTTTGCGTCTGAAGTTTATAAAGCTTCAGGAGTTCGGCAGATGTGGAAGTTCTATTGTTCTAATGGATTGTGTTTCTGAATAGTCTGAGTATTGTGTATCTTAAAAGTAGTTACAGTGGAATGTGGCTCTGGAATACATGCTAGGTAGTTGTCTAATGTGGGGGGGGCGAGCACAGGCTAAAACTTTGTTTTTGTGTATGTTGTGTTATTTTCTTTCCCGGCAATGCTTCTGCTTTTTCACTTCTCTGTAAATAATGGTAATAGTTGAGTAACTTGTAGTGGGAAGAGGAAGCTTTTAAGGAACTGCAATACTTTTAGCAGATCATCCTCTACAGTTTGTACAGAGGTACAGCCCAGCTTACAAACAACCAAGTTTGAGGCGTGAGTTCAAGTTCTACCTTTGTTTTGGTGTTACTGGATAGCCTTGGTCAGATTGCTGTCTGTCAGCTTGAGTTCCCTCGTGTAAAATACGGCTAACAGTAATCAGACTGCAGGGTGAAGTCCTTAAAAGTTATTTTATTTATGGCAGGAACTCATATTGAAGAAAACAAAAACAAAACTGTATTTTAGCTAATGTGTGTGCTGATGAGAAAAATGCTTGGGGTGTGTGGGGGGGGAATGTTTGCATGTGTTACTCCATTATGAAATGCCGAATAAAGGAGAGGCTTAAATGTAAATGAGAGGGGAGAATAAGGCCAAGATCAAGTGCGTTCTTGTTCTGGATTCTGAATGTGCCACTGTCTTCTTGCGTTACGAGTATTACATCAAGGTCTTAATGTGTAATTTGTAAGCTGACATCTTATGGGGTCATCTAGCATTTCTGTTCCATTAATGATGATATGACCAAATAGTAGTTGGAAGCTGTTTGGACACACCACACTTATTGCTACATATTGTATGATGTTGGCACAGATCTCTACAGGCACAGAAACTGGCGCATTTGGCAGACAGTGAACGGCTGGAATTACATAGTATACATTACCATGAGGTTTATGTGCATATTTTCACTTGTGTAAAAGAATGGTAGGCTACACTGAGGAGGGAAAGCTGTACCCATTTTTTTAAATCCTTAATCATTCTCATCTTGTTTGTCTTCCTATTTTGTCTTGCTTACTTATTGTTGAAACTTTGGCTATTTCTTCCTGGGTGGCCTTTATCTGTAAAGGCCCATACAAGTGGTGGTACAACAGAAATAATCCTGTTGTACACTGAGAAGGAAGTGTTGTTGCATTGTTATGAGCTTGTAAAGCAGCAAAATTGAAAGATAAAGGCAGACGAGTCTTCGAAAGTGTACAGATTGCAGCCATCCAGGAACTGTTTTTTTAAATTTTGCTTTTGTTTAACTTGGTAACCTCGAGTACCCTGCCTCTCTGCTTTGTTAGCAGTGTGTCATATAACACAGGCAAAAGGGTTATTTCTGAAGATGGGCTTTACTGGGCTGCGATAGAGCTGTGCCCACGCTCGAATAATGTGCCAGCCACTCTGAAATATTTGTCCAACCCTTCCCTCGAATGCGTCACCCCATTTTAAGTGTTGGATTTTTGAGGTTGCAAATTGCGAGCCCTCCAAATAAATCCTTTTTAATCTTTGGACTAATCCTATCTGGCTGATCTGTTCCCAGAGAAGAAATGTATAAGTTTGCATTTGGATGCTGTTTCGTAAGGAGAGTTGTGAGACCCATAAAAGAGTGAAGCCACTTTTCTTGAACTGCCATGAAATGCAAGGTCATGTACTCATGACTGGCACCTGTCTCTTATGTATTTGACGTATGTCCCACTTCTTTACCATAACAGCAGCTTCCACTATTTTTAAAAGTACAAAGTTCTTTCCTTTTCTCCTCTCCCAATGTATTAGCTTCGTGTTGCTCTGCTACAGGTGCTGCTTGGTTGATGACTAGTGATGCTTGCTTGGGGGTAGAACATGCCACACCATTTTGCCTGGCGTGCGTAGCCAGTTCTAGGCTGGAGGGACTCATGTGAACTGTTGAGGTGCAGTCAGCATTGTTGCTTCTTCAGC